GAGTATGCACGTGCTGTGAAAAATGTCCTGCGAATGTGTTCTTATCTATGCATAAGCACTCTTGCAATTGTTTTCGACTTGTGTTCTTTGTGCTACACTTTCTGTGCCATAATTAGTTTCTGTTACACAGTCCTATCTATTTGCGTCGGTTGTAGTGAAAGTAAACTTGTATCCGCCATTGAAGGTTGTGTAAATAATATGGGACATTTCATCACATTCATATTATTATTGGAATTGCAAGTTCATATACATACATATGACGTCATTAACGCGCGCTTTATTGCCAGTTTTGCTTCACGTTTCATTTCTTTGTTCTTGGCTTAATTATCGACTACAAATATTAAATATCATTCAAGCGTTCAAGATGGTCGGCCAAGAAGCGAGTGCAAAATACAATATTCTGTGTTGCGATTAAGTACACTATTGAAATCCCACACTATGTATTATGTCAATCTGTGGCAGGTTAAACAATGTATTTTTAAATTGAAAGTTTCTGCAAATAGGCAATCTGAAGTGCATGCCTTATACAAAGCACATTCACTAGACAGAAAAAAATCAAATTATTTGATATTCATTAAGAGATATAAAAAATATAGTTTTATGAAAATAAAAGTGATTAAATTTCCGACAAAACATTCTTGGGGCAGAAAAAGTCTGCGTACAAGGTACATAAGTTGAACAAAGATATTCTTACACCGAATTCTTCTTAAAATTAAATAGAAAAGCGGCTATCCCCAACGTTTTACAATAAAACTTCCGCTAGGGATTTTGGCATGGAATAGATAGGCTTGTAGGTTTCTATGCAGCACATCCTTGAGCATATCCTTAGAGCTAATTGTGCGTTTACGGCTTTTACTTTCCAGTGAATCCCATAGGTGCTATTAAGGATTAAAATCTGGTGATTCTGGTGCTGTTTGAAGCTGTTTTGGAACGTTGTAGAGCAACCAAAGCTTAACTATGTCTGCTGTATGCTTCAGGTCGTTATCCCATAGAAAATAGTAATCCCTTCCAGACCCTATTTTTTCGCACTTTCCTTCAAATTGGTGGACTCTATAACTTCCATTCGGTCCACACCATTACTAGTTATGTACCCCCGTATCATTACTTCTTCATAACCGCGCTTCACAGTATGCATCAAGATTTTTTTTTATCGAAAGAGAGAAAGATTCTTCCAAACTAAATAGTATCATGAGAGTCCAGGAAAAGTCACAAAAACTCGGAAATAATCAATTCCATGAAGTGAGTCAAATAAGTTTACGCTGTAAGCTTATGAACACTTTATTCAGTTTAGTATGATTTTGAACCTATGTATGTATGTAGTCAATACCTAATAAGGTTACAGTGACAATTCAGAGCGTTCTTCATCGTTTTCTACAGTTTTCAACTAATTAATCTATCTACCATTTCCGAAGGTAACTGTAAAAATACTCTCTATTTAAAGGAAAAGTTAAGAGAAAAGTTATCATTGTTTTTTAAGAGAACAAAATCGGTAGAGAGAACATTATATGATAGAAGATACATAACCACACAAAAAAAAAACCTAATAGGAGAAAACGAAATTTATACAGTTTGAGAGAGGATTTTTCAATGCCAGCTTCCTCCAACTCCTTGGCGTTAGCGACAGCGTATATTTTGAGGTGTTACTTGACACTCCGTGCAACTTTACTTTCATCCTGTGGCGTGTAAATTTTTTTTAGCGTTCCACTACTTTCTAGTCTTCCAACTTTACCAGCCTTTTTGAAATTAGCAATAAAGTACTTCCCGCGTAATTTCGTTCTCTTGACTACCTGAGCCTGTAAGTCTTTAGATGTTTATTCACCATGTTTTCTTCAAAAACTATAATTGCACAAAGTAAATTTGCTTACCAAAGAATACATTTTGACCATACTCAAAAAATACCAGACAAAAATGACGATACCTGCTTGATAACTGCATTTAAAGTGTTGCCAACGCAAGTGTACAAGTTTTTTTTTGGCTGCTCAAAAGTGAGAAATATTGATTTTTTGCAATCGTTGACAACAAAATTGATTTATTGTTAAACTTTTTATAAAATTACATACTATTCCTATATTGTTACGCTTGGTTGCAGCTTAAAAGCTGAAATCGTTTAAGGTTCCTTCGAAGTCAAAGCAGCTCTTTGTACAATTTTTTTTTTGTTTCACTATACTTTTATATAAAAATTGACTGAATGACACTACTGTATTGTACAGCATCTTAATTTTGATTTATTAAATCAAAATCCAATCAGTGGTCGGTATAAGCGGAACTGCGACTGTGTAGGTGAGCACCAAACTAAAGACACTCAGTGAGAACTCTGTTGCCTTAAATATGCTGAATCGTTTTAATTTTTTGTTTAAACAAGAACTACTTATTACGTAACTCGGACGCATCCGCTTTCATGCTTCTTGATTTTTATATAAAATAAAATAAATATATTAGATCCTAAAAACCTTCAATTTATTGTCTTTAAATAACGTAAAAAACTATACACAGGGCACATGTTCCCTAGCGGCATGACCATGCTCGATGTTGTTGCGTCGCTGTTTTGGCCAAGACAACGACTGAACGATAGAGCATAATGCTTAGCCTGAGGGTAAATTCTGTAGATTAAAAAAAAAGACAATTTTTGGACGAAAACAAGTCATTATTGGAGTTTTAAAAAAAGTCTTAAACGACAACATGCTATCCTTGAGCGTTAAAATAAATAGTCAAAAACCGTCACATTCGGTAATTTTTATATAAATATAAAGAGTTTAAGTCAAAAATTTTAACTCGAAATTTACTTTAAAACTGAGATCCTCTAGATGTTAAACATTTTTAATTTTTTTTAATCTACAGATTTTACCCTCAGGCTAAGCAAAAACACAAACTTTTTTTTTCGCTCCATCTTAATAAGCGTACTTGTGAAATTAGCTTACACAATTGTTCCATGAAATGCCGACCACTTATTCCAATAAAATGGAAAGAGATCACCTTTTTTCTCGTTAAATTTTAGGCACACAGATCTGTGCACTTAATTGGGGACTCTTTCCTACATGCAACATTACTGATTTTTTAATGAAATTTGGTTTGTGTGCCATGGAAATAATCCAGTGACTTTGTTTAGCGAAATATGAACTAAAAAATCATTGGTCAGCTATTTTTAATTAACTATTCTTTTGTTGTCATAACAGAATTAATTGTATTTATAATGTAATTTGGCTGTCCAGAAATTTGTGTTTCAGTGTGTCGTTGCAAAAATTCGGCGAAAATTTTCATTTTCATGGATAAGTTTTTTTTATATTATTTTCGCTTTTTATACATTTCAAAACTACTATTCGTATACGTGGACATTTTTGCAAGGAAAATAAATTGTTTTGTTTGTAGAATTCGGAAATCTCTGTATTTTTTGAACGATTGACGTTGATTTCAAGTTATTTCTTGATATACCGTCGAATCAAATATGACCCGGACTGGTCTATTTGACCTGCGCGCAAGCCGAATCGATAAAACCAAACGCAAACCCGAAACCGGGTATACATTTTAAGTTTGCCACAATGTTTGTAACAATCAAATGAAAACATCAGAGACCCTATAAAGTCTATATGTAAATGATCAGCGTGACGAACTGAGTCGATTTAGCCATGTCCGTCTGTCTGTTCGTCCGTCACTTCGGTTTTGAGACATCGATCTGAAATTTTGCACCCGTCCTTCTCTCACCAAGGAGCTGCTCATTTGTAACTAAGTCGGAATGAAGTGTCTGTATGGAAATCGTTTTCATTTGATGAGAGACGTTTTCGCGAAAATTTCCAGCGGTTATTGTCCAAGACAACGGTGCAATCTCCACAGAAAGTGTTGAGGTCAAGTCATTGTTGCATATAGCTGGAAGCTTTTGTGTTTCTGAAGGGTATTATAGTTAATGTTTTTGTTTTTGGTTTCCCGAGATTGGTACCAGCGGTTTTATCGTGCAGTTTGATCTCTATACGTCAATTAGTGTGTGTGCTAGCAGCTGTTTGTTTACGACGCCAGCAGTTTGTCCACAAAGCCTAAAATAATAGAAGTATTATATAATATACATATGTATGTATGTAGGTGTATTATTGAAATTGTTTAAATCACTTTCCCACTAACACCTTCCGTTGTCATTATTTACTTACACGTACGAGTACACATACATATATATGTATGCGCATAAAAAAGTAACTTAAATGCTTTCAAACGATTCAACATTCGCGTACGTATTACTCATTTGATGCGGCAGGCGTTCGTATACGCCTATCGCCCGCCTCTAACGCCTCGGACGCTTTGAACATAGCTTGCACGCTCATCGCTGCTCATGTTTCGCGCCACTTAACATAGCTAAAATTGCGGTGAATTTACATAGATATGCATATAGTTAGCTAGGTGCATTGAAGTCCCACAAAGCCGCCGAATGAAAACGCTCGAAAGTTATACGCGAAGTATTCTACGTTCTATATATATTTACGCAGACCATAAAGAAGCCAACTGATCGCTATGGCGACCACACCCACGGCATCGCACTTTCTCAGCATATGGGTGCAGCGCGTTTTGTTATTTCGATAAATCATTGAAGCATTTAGCGTGAAAATATTCATCATGGTGACAACAAAAACGCTGCCGCTTAAGCGTTTAGCAGTTAGTCGTCTGACTAGCGCTGTCACAGGTCGATATAATGAATTTTTGGTAGACTTGAGCACATTCAGCGTATTGTATAGAACTTTTTACTTCACTACTATACATATACTGATATCCTTCAGACGTCATCGAACCACTCGCTGTTTTCATATCTTATGATATGTGTTTGCGACGAGGTGGCGATTTATAGCTTTTTAACTGGAAATCATTTTGTACTTCAATTTGAGGTTTTAACTACACACGTGTGTGTGTGTGTGTGGGTGTATGTGTGGAAGGGTGGCGTGTTTGTGTGTTAGTGGCATTTAACCACCAAGGCTGTACTGTGTTTTCTTAATACATGGCTTGAGCATTACTTCTACTTGCAGGTGCATTGTTGTGTTTGTTGTTGACTTTGTAAGCGATATAAAATTTGGTTGCAAGCAGACATTTCCGTGAGAATGGACTCACCAACACCGCCAATTGTAATCGACGATCCAAACGGCTCAGCAATGGATGCTTGTTTTACCGCTTTCGATAAAGACGGGTGAGTTCAGTTGTAATAAAAATATATTTAAAGTTCAGTAACAAATTTTATGGCGACAAAAATGTGATTAAAAAGTGAAACTACAGTTAACAGCTACAAAAATTGGCGCAATTAATTTTTTGAAGTTTAGTGATGTGTTGAGAAGCTGTGCGAACTGTAATGGATTATATACATTTCAGTAGTTAGACGAAAATAAATAAAATATATTGGAGTTGAAAAGTATGGAATATAATTAGCACATATAACGTATAAATATGGTGTGTAATATCCTTGATGTTAAATACTTAGGATAGACAAAAACAAAGGAAGATATATATAGATATATATATATATATGCACCGATGCTATAACACCCTTTATAGGTGCATTTTTTTATAGCATAAAAAACTATTTTTTCTGATTTTGATCGGTCAGATCTGAACAATTTCTTCGCAGATTGTAACGATGCTTTAAACAATAATCTATGCCAAAATTCGTGCAGATATATGTACAGTCAAATTAAAAAGTTTTCCATACGAGGACTTGAGTTTGATCGGTCAGTTTATATGGCAAGTATACGCTATATTTGTCCGATATCGGCGGTTTCGACAAATAAGCAGCTACTTAGGGACAAAAGAACATGTGTAAAATTCCAGATTGATATCTCAAAAACTGAAAGACTAGTTCGCGAATATACAGACGGACGTATAGACAAAGGGACTTCAAACCGACTCAGCTCGTCACGCTGATCACTTTAAAGGGTCTGCGACGTTTCTTTTTGGCTGTTACAAACATCGTGGCAAACTGAATATACCCTGTTCAGGGTATAAAAATTATTATTAATAATAATTTCAAGAGTAGAAGTATATTCTAGCCATATTGTAGGCAAAATATTTAAAACTATGACTACTTTTGTTAGAATCTATGTGTTAATATTTTTTTTAAGTCCTCAACAATTTTGGCACCTAACAACTGTAGGATGAAGACAGTAGCTTGGCTATTGAAAAGTTGCTATTATTTAGTTAATACTTTTTAGTTCTCTGTGTAGAGACTTAGCCTAGGCAGATCCATTAAACATTTTCTAGTAAATAATTTTCGAGAATATTTTAACTCTATAGCTCTTAAGATAAATTTGCTCGCTAGCGTTTGGCAACTTTTCTAAAAACTTCTGCTGTATAAATAATTATTAAATATGTATTTGTATATTCGGTTTTAACTACTATTAAATTTTGCTAACACATCGTCATAAAAATTACATATAGACGCCAGACATTTTATTGAGATTGATCGAATTGCTGCGCTATCTTTGCAATAAAGATATGTTACGCATTTTCTCAAACTTGTAGGCCATAGCTTTTCACTGACAAACCCCAATTAAATATATTGTTCTTCAAATGTATATACCTACTTAAAGATTTTATAAATACATGTGTATGTGTATATGATATATGTATCTGAAGTTTATTTACCTCAGGGTAATTCTTTGCCGTTTATTCTTACAGTGATGACCGTCTGAATTTGGCTGAATTTACATTAATCTGTCGTGCATTATTCCGAAACGATAAGGGGCATATTTACGATGTGCCAGCTGATCGGCTGCAGCAGATTTTCGAAGTATTCGATACGGACGGCGATGGCTACATTGACAGAGAGGAATTTAAATTCTGCTGGAATCGTTGGATTAAAACAGTTAGTATATGCACATAAACATATGGTTTTATATCTGTTTAAGCGTTAAAAGCTATAAGTTCATTTGAGCGTATGTTTGGCTTTATTGTGGCATGGTAGTAAATATGTATTTGGTTGATTGCTGCATATGAATATGTAAGGCATGTACATATGTGAAGTATACAATATTAATTTTTGTGCCTTTCGAGCATATAAAAACGAATTTACATATAGCCGCATGAAACTTGATTGAGTTATGTCACAGCGAATTGTGTTGGTGTGAGTTTTATTCTATTAAACGCTGCTACAAAGCGTTGGTAACGTCAAAATTTCATAAAAATCAGGACTTGGTAATGTAGCTGTCAACAATTTTATTATTTTTTTCCTGATTTCCACATCTTGCCACTATGTAAATACGGGTGGACTTTGCCAGCCTTTTGAAAATGCGTTGCAGTATGTTGGCGTATTGCTTGCAGTGAAAATACTGCGTTTCAACGGAATTCTGCTGAATCCTGAACATGTAATCCATAAGGCTACACATATTGCGCGCAAAAGCGCTGACGGTCAATTTGCAATTCAATTTACTTATGGATCAATGTATGGCATGTGGATTAAAGCCACTTTGTGCTTACCAGTGTTTTCGCTGTGGTTAAAGGCTTGCAGACTTACTGCATTTGAACACTTTCAAATACAAAATCGTTAAATATGCAAATTTCAGACCACTTGTGCTTATACTGAGGTTAGTAGAAAATATGAATAATTAATTATTAAATTTGTCAAATGAAAATATATATATATATATTAGGGTGGGCTAAAAGCTAATCTTTTTTTACGCTTGTTACTCTGAAAAGTAGGTTCTTAGACAACGCTAAGAAAGACTCTCCAAGTTTTTGTTTTTTTAAATACTTTTTTAAAATTATTTTTACAATTCTAGGTACCATTAATATATGATAATATATATATATATATATATATATATATAAATACCAACAAACAATTATTTTCTTATAAAAATAAAAATAAACTACTGTTCTCCAAGTATGAGGTCTTAATTGTAACGGGAAGGTCTGTCGCCTTACAGTTTTCTATTTTTTCTTATTAACAGATAGAAAAATTCATATCTCGCTTCTAACTGCTTGAAAAAATATCTCAAAAAGTTCTCTTCCGATTTTTTCGTAAACCTACCAAGGGAAAAAAATATTTGTTGCTTTTTTACACACGCTAATATAACTCGTATATATACTTGTATATATTGTATGTATGTATATAATATTTTTGTCAAAAGTCGTTTTCGTATATAGTACTTCGTAACTTTTGTCAATTCGTGTAAATTTAGTTGTTTTGGACCACTCTACATTACACAGGATATATGAGTACATATGTATATTGGTCGTGGCATCGCTGAAGGCGCTTCAATAAACACTATGCTGGTAATTACTTTTTCAAATAAATATGTTGGCCCTTTGGCGTATTTATTTATGTATATTGCTGGATCCGGAAAAAGTGTCACTGTACAAATAAAGAAGAGACAAATGGCGAAGAGAAGATGATCGCCTATTTACGATTATATTTAATGGAACTTTTCAATGTCTTATAACTATTGAAATGTTGAATTTCTTTAAGAGTCTTCTGTCGTTTGATTTGCGCAAACTTTTATTTAAAACGAAAATAAATAAAAATTATTTTCAACGTTTCAAAATTTCTCTTTATAAAACAACTGTTCATTTTCCACTTTTATCAAAATTATTCCAAAGCTAAATGTCACTTCTTTAAAAATAATAAACAAAATATCCTTTCTAATCAAATGAGCTTTAAATAAAAGTTTGCCCGGTGATAAATTTAAAATAAAGTTATTAAATTAAGTTTTGTAAATCATAAATAAAAATAGCAGTTCCTCTTGTTTATTGAGTGGAAGTGGAACTTTTGAATTAGAAAAACAAGTGGAAACATTTTGCTGCTTCTTTTAACTTTATAATATTACCGGAATTGGCTCTTTATTGAAAATGGATTTTATTTACCCTTTCGACATTTAGCCCTGTCGTTGTATTAATGTGGATATGTGTGCCTTCCTGTCTGGCAAGCAGCTCAATTCAATTTCAATCTGACATTGCCATGACGTCTACAATGCAGCAAATGGCAAACAGTGATTGTGGAGAAGGGGAAGTTGGCGGTAAACTTAACGATGGTAGAAAGTGGCAAGCGTAAAATTATTGCAGTTGACGTGCGCGAAGTGTGGGCGTATGTCGTGTTTATGCTGTTGTGTGTGTGTGAGAATTTTGAGTTAGAATGTGTGGAGGAGGAAAGGTGTTAAAGTAATTTCCGGCTGTTGATGGTTGCAGGCTCGCACGTATGTAAGCATATGCAATTTGTATGCGCGCACTGTGGAAAGCATTCGCTAAATTGAGTCTTATTTCTTAATTAGTTACGCTACAAAGCTGTAATGAATAAATATTTAACAAAACAAGTATTTATTGCTATGTAATTACTTGTCAAATAATTGATTTGATGTATATTTATATGTATGTATATATATATAGTAAACATATATGTATTATATATACTTACATGTATACATATCTTTTTGTTTTATAAATTCTAATAATTTTTTATTTCTTCCTCTTGGGGTATGAGGCACAACACAGACTTTCTTTCTTTATTTTCTTTCTGCACAAAATTTCTTGTTACATAACTTTAACTTCCTTGCTGCGCTCAAGTTACTGCGTTGCATGAATTTTTGCTTTTATTTATGTAATTTTGCTTATTTTGGTTACCAAACAGTTCTTTGACCTGTGATTCAATTGAGGTCATGAACTATTAACTTTTTAATAAATACCCACCTTACCCATTGTACATAGATGCCAGCAGCGTAGCTGTGTTAGCACATTATAATTTTAAAGTTATTTGCCTGCTGTGCGCTTTACTAATAATCACAGTGGGCTGCAATCATTGAAATGTGCTATACTAACACGATAGTAGTGTGTTGATATTACATAATTTTGTACGACTCATAATAATAGTAAAAAATGTAGCATAAGAATACAAAAAATATTTGTCGAGATTATGACTTGACTTGACTTATGCATAATTAAATTAGTGGACAAATAGTAAATAAATAATATATGTACTTGTATATAGCGTGAGCTACCCAATTTTAAAGAGCGATACAGTCAGAGATTTTTCCGGGTCGGTGTTCATATTCGTGTGAAGTTTGACTAAAATATGACAATTAAACGCGTAAACAACTCGTACGAAAATGCTTGAATACATTCGAAAGAAAAAGGTAGCACTCGTCGCAAAAAGCGACTTGCCAACGGATTTTAAACATTAGATGTCGCGCGCGTCGATTAATGTAGATAAATTCGTTTTAAAAATCAGATTAATCATCATAAAGATAGAATAATAGAAAAAAATAATAATATGCACCAGATGTATAAGTATAATATAAAACAGAAATATAAAATATAAGTATAATAAAAGTACAATAAAAATTGTAATACCTCGTGATAATTAGAGAAACCTTATAGACCAGCGGCTTCGTCTTCAAACTAACAAACTGACTCGGGTATAATTTTAAAATTTTGTACTCTTTTCAAATAGTTCAATAAGCTTTGAAATATTTCAAACTCAAAAGGCTACCTATGTAAATCTTGTAAACATGCGGTGGTAGCTTGAAACTTGTGCAGCTCATCATACCTCCTGCTCAAATATAAACGAGACTGGCTCAATAAAACAAAAACGGTTAATTATTCTTCAATATTTATTTTATCCCCTTCAAAATAGTCACCATTAGAGGCGATACACATATGCCACCTTTTTTTCCAATCTTCCTAACACTTCTGGTAGGCCGCTTTAGGTATGGCTTTCAGTTCCTTCTTCGAATTCTCTTTTATGACTTCAATCGACTGAAAATGCTTTCCACGAAGCGGCAATTTGAGTTTAGGGAAAAGAAAAAAGTCACACGGTGCCATGTCGGGTGAATACGGTGCTTGCGGAACAATATTTACGTTGTTTATGAGCTGGATTTTGGAACAAGTCGAGCAGACACACGTCTCATGCCCAAAACATCGTGAATAATGTTATGAGCGGATCCATTTGATATGTTGAGCTCACTAGCTATCTCTCTTTCAGTCACACGACGATTTTCCAACACAATTTTCTTTACTTTTTCGACGTTTTCTTCGTTTATTGACGGCAAGTTTTCCAGCGATGTACGGCCGTCCTTGAACGACTTATACCAATCAAAAATACGTGCACGTGATAGGCAAGACTCCCCATATGCCTTCTGCAACATTTTCATTGCGTCCGTCGCACTTATTCCATTGGAATAACAAAATTTCAAACAATCACTTTTTGCTCAACGTTAATTTCCATAGTAAAATTCGAAAAACACACTCGAGGTTGACTTGTTTATAAACTCGAGGTTGACTTGTATAAAAACTATGGGAGAGCGCTTAAATTTGACATGTAATCATATAACAGTCCTGCCAACCTAAGCAAAAAAAAAGTATGGCCATATGTCATGTCCTTGTCGAATAATATATAAAATTAAATGTATAACATTTTCTGTATAATGTGTAATATATGTTAAATTTGTGTATGATATGTAAAATTTCAGAATTATATTACTTAACGCTACTTAATTCCCTAGTGGTTTTCGAGTCTTTTTTTTTTGTCAAGCATAGGAAGGGGTCTAGACTTAAGTGACCATATTTGTCCCAGCAAAGTCGGGTACGGGTTTTTTTAGTCATCTACTTTTTCCATATTATAATTCACTGAAATTCGCGACATATAATAGATGAGAGCGCAATACAACTTTATTCAATGCATTCTTTGTTTTTTAATCTAAGCGCGGTACGGCCGGGACGCTTTACTCGGAATCCGTACTGTCCCGGACAAACCGGCTCAAATGGTCAGCTAAGTTTAGGCTATCCTCCTCTTTGAAAATATTTATTATTAAAAATATACTCAAAAATATTAAAATACTTACATCATTTCGTAAACTCATTAAATATTTAAGAGCTCGTACTCTTCATACCGAATTTTAGATTCTATCAAGTTTATGATCTCATTTACTTTAAACTAGAAAGTGAAAAAAATGAAGTAAAAACAAAAAATACGAGTTAAAAACAAGAAGTAATTTGCCAAAAATATGCCAAATAAATTAATTTGCTTTTTCATAAATATCCGACATTTTATATTCCCAACTGCAAATGTTGCAAGCAACATCAACAATGCCGCACTCAAATTTCATATCCTGCCGGCATCCTTCCGCTATTTGCTGGCTATTGTAAAATTCACTTGACTCTCTGCTAAACTTAATTTTTCGTGCTTATTTTTTGCGTTCGTTTGCGAGCATGTGTATAATTTTGACATTATATACGCTAGCGTGTGTGTGTGTGTGTGTGTGCATGAATGTGTCAGTACTCCGAAAAACATCTAACATTAACTTTATTTTTCTACTTTTTCCTTATGCACGCATATACAAACAAACGTATAATAACATCAACGCAGATTGTGCGACCGGTGAACGCTTTCCTCATTGTTGATGTACAAAATGATTTTATAAGTGGATCCTTGGATATAAGTAATTGCAGTGCACAGCAAAAAGGACATGAGGTGAGTGCTAGGAGCACGCTTAGTGTACTCAAGTGGGTACACGTAGTGTCTCGGCGAGTTGCAAGGATGTTCGCTGTTAAATATAATATAATACATGTGAAAGTATGTATATGTAGGTATATATATATATATATATGTATTTGCGGTTAGTTGACAGCAATAATGAAGAAAGTGAAATAAAGTAAAAACTGCAAATTGTATATAATATAGAAAAGAAGAAGCGGTAAGACAGACAAAAGCAAAACGAAGGCGTATAAGTACAATATATCCTGTGCGCGAACATTCAAGGCGACAAGGGTTGGACTGGATAGCGCAAGTTCGGACACACAAATGGCTACCTATGGTGCTACTTTTATTCGGGCATTCTCTTGGAAGAGCAGTTAGTTAGTACTGCTTTGGTAAAAATATCTGATAAAACTTAATTGAAATACGTAATTGAATTTCGGGGTATACGTTTATTTTGTTAGAACTAAAGATTCAACATTAAAGGTAAATCTTGGACAAATCAATTAAAATAAAACAACACAACAAAATAAGCATAACTACCACGACAACAACAAACAAAACTTTTTAATTCTTTATACCAGCTATGAATTGCCGATAAGCATGCTGAGTTGATGGTTCTTCATCGATTTGGTACAAGCATTATGATATTTAGCTGATATGAACTTAAACTAAAACAAATAAACGTTAACTTCATTTGCACCGAAGCTATGTATAATACCCTTCACATATACTTATAAAAGATGCCTAACAAGAACTTTGATCGATCAGTTTGTATGGCAGCTATATACTATAGTGACTCGAACTGAACAATTTTTTCGGAGATTACATTGTTGCCATGGACAATAATTCAACATAACCCAATTTCGTGAAGTTACCTCGTCAAATGAAAAAGTTTCCCATGCAAGCACTTTATTCCGTTCCGTTTAGTTAATATGGCAGCTATATGCTATAGTCATACGACCTAAAAAATTTCTTTGGAGATTACATTGCTGCCTTAGAAAATGACCGTAAAGATATTACGTCAAATAAAAAATTTTGTCATACAAGTACTTGATCCGAATCGTTCAATTTGTATGTCAGCTATATGTTATAGTGGTCCGAAATGGTCCGATAAAGGCCGTTCCAACAAAAGAGCAGCAAGAAAATCAGCTTTAGTTCGTATTTAAATATAAAGCATTCCAAGTATTTCACATGGCTTAGTTGATAGTAGCAATTTTGCAAGTGATTTTTGTACGAATGTCTGTGCGTCAGTGTGCTGAAACCGGAAACGGATGCTGCAAGTGCGTCGCGTGTCTTTCGACATGTTCTTACAAAAATATTAGCTTTGGCCGGAAAGTGTAAACGGAAATATGCTATTCGAGTCGCTTCCTTGCTTGTTGCTTTGACTCAATAACTTATTTTGATGTTTCGTTGCTGAGTCTCATAATTCTTAATATTATCAGCGTATAGCTGATAAAGTAAAATATTTCAAGTTTATTTTTTATCTTTCGCTCTTTAGATTTTGGAGCCCATCAACAACTTGTTGGATACGGTGGAATTTGATGCCATTTTCTACTCTCTGGATTGGCATCCAAGCGATCACGTTTCGTTTATTGATAATGTGAAAATGCGACCCATGGATGAGTCGTCGCCGGTAAGATTTAAAATGTTCTATAAATTTTATATTTTGAAAAACAAAAGTATTTTAATACGTGCTGCTGCCATGCTGATCTAAATCACCTAACAGGTCGACGCAGACTCCGCGCAAGTTTTCGATACAGTTATCTTTGCCGGCCCACCGCCGATGAAACAACGTTTATGGCCACGCCACTGTGTACAGGATTCATGGGGTGCCGAGTTGCATAAAGATTTAAAAGTGGTGGATAACGGTATAAAAATTTATAAAGGCACAAACCCCGAAGTCGACTCGTATTCCGTTTTCTGGGACAATAAAAAGCTCTCTGATACAACACTGAATGCCCAGCTGAAGATGAAGTGCACAACGGATATTTATGTGTGTGGACTGGCATATGATGTGTGTGTGGGTAAGCGAACGATTCGAACAACTTTTTGTATTATAATTTCGTTTTCTTCTTTCCTCTACCTGAATTTGTTGCCAAATTTTAATATTTTCATTTATTATTTCTCAGGGGCAACCGCTGTCGACGCCTTGTCTGTTGGCTATCGTACCATTTTAATTGACGACTGTTGTCGCGGCACCGATTTCCACGATATCGAACACACCAAAGAGAAGGTGATAAGCAATCATGGTGTGGTTGTGCACTCGAATGAGGTGAGAAGAATACTAACTGACAAATACTTTTAGCTTATACGATGCCGGTTGGCTGATATACATACATATAAAGAGAGAGAGGGTTAGTACTGGGTTGTTTGTATTACTTTGAACAAAGCTATAGGTATACGCAATCAGTGTTCTGATTAGACATGCTATTAGTGATCAAAAATACAAGTCATGCTCAGGTAAATAAAGGTTGGTTGAAAAATTTCTGCTCTCACCAAGAAATAGCATTACTAGCTCCTCTTCAGAAACGTGAAACAATTCCTTCGTGGAAAGCGTATTTCGTCGACTAAAGAAGCTATTACAGCCGTAGACGAGTATTTTGCAGAGCTGCCGGAAAGTCATTATAGGGGTGGCATAAAAATATTGGAGGACCATTGGAATAAGTATATTGCAGTTAAGGGAGTTTATATTGAATAAGAAAATATATTTCTTACCAAAAACAGTATTTTTTCATTTCGAGTGCAGACACTTTTCAGCCAACTTGTATGGTAGAAGTAATAGCAAACCCGGACATTTAGCCATCCGTAATTGTCGTAGACAGCAACAAGCAGTAGCTCTGTTTAGCTAATAGTTTGATTTAGAGCAAACTTGCAGATAATAAATACGTATTCTTTTCGTAAAGTTTATTATTTTTAAAGTTGGCGTTATCAATTTGTGTAGAGTTTTAGGAAAGTATATTAAAACGCTAAAACTAAAACTAAATAAAAAATAGAATAATTAATAATATAAACATAATGCTTTCTCCATGCAGGTGCGTGGCATGATCGAAGGCCGCGATCGACGTCCAGAGCTTGGTTACAAGCTAGCAATGGAACTAAAGAATCCCGACTCGGCACTTTCACAGCGCAATGGCATACGTCCAGTTGATTAAATGGCGTTTAGATGTTCATTGATAGCAAAAGACCGCCGAGTTATAAATACAACAATAACGCAATTATTCCAGTATCCTACGAAAACGCTTAATAAACGGCTTTACGTATATGCACCAGGAACATACACACATACATATATTCTAATGGCTAATAAAAGAAAGTTAGTAGAAAAAAAGTTAACGAGTTCAAGAATCCAACTCAAGTTCCTATGAGGTAGAATACTTAAATGACAAAACAAATCCGAATATTTAGTAGCTGCTAAGCTTTTAATGAAATATGTTACTTAATTTATTTTAATTTATAACAAACAAATAAAAAGCGTAATTTAAATTATACAAAATAAGAATAAAAATATACTTAGTAACATTGTTAATGCAGTTGAGTGAAAATTTAAAATCTATCGCACGTGATATTACAAATGTAGCGCTTACATTTACACAACATATAATCCCTTCATATCAAAAAAAGGAAAAAATATATAATATATATGTGTATATTAGGGTACAGCGAAAATTTTTTTTTTTATTGCTTTAGTAAAATCTTTAGATAATAAAAAAAAAAATATTTGGACAAAAAAAAATTTTTTTTAACACCTCTGTTTTAAAGTAAATTTCGAATTAAAATTTTTTTTGGACAACAAAAATAATTTTTGGTTTAAACTTTTCACGTTTATATAAAATATACCGAATTTGACGGGTTTTGACTCAAAATATATTTTAACGCTTAAGACTTTATTAAAACTCCAATAATGACCACAAAAAATTGTTTGAAGTTGATAAATTTTAATTGGCCAGAAAGAGGACTCTTCACAGCTTCTAAAACATTTATCAAAAATTTTTTACGAAATATCGAATCAAAACTTTACTTTTAAAGTGTGTTGGCCGGGCCGCCTCTAGATGCTAAACAATTTTCTTTTTTTATAATCTACAGATTTTACCCCCAGCCTAAGCAAAAAAAATTAAAATTTATTTTTTCGCTCCATCTTAATGTATATTTCGAATGCGCTTAATAAAACGAGCGTAAATTGTGTTGAGTGTGAAATGAAAGTGGACATATTAAGTACTGAATAAAACTAGTAAACAATCAAAAAGTTTATGCATGAACAAAATGTATTTTTATCTCTTTTAATTAATAATTTCCTGTTTTAGCGCAAGTCCCGGAAATGCTGCAGCACGGCAACATGTCACCAATTGAATCACCCCCGACACGCGACTTTAATAAGATTAACAATTTCAACGGCACAACTCCGGGCTGCAACTAGTTGTTGTTGTTGCCTTGTTACTGTGGCGACATTTGCTCGCCAGTGCTGAAATTTACGAAGCAGGAGTAAAACGCTTCGTTGGCCAACGGCGAATTAGAGAAAATGTCCGGAAAAAGCGAAAATGCAGGAAGGTGTAAACCCGTTCTGTTGCTAACACCGTTACAGTTACGTTTTCGCAGAGTGGGCAGGCAGCAGCAAATTAACTATATTTAAAATGAGAAAACAAGTTAACTTCTGCTACACCGAAGCTATAATCCACTTTCAGGTTCAAGTTTTCTGACAAGAACTTGACTTTGATCTGTCAGTTTGTATGGTAGCTATACTCTGTAGTGGTTCGATATCGGCGTTTCCGGCATTGAGCAACTTCTTGGTGTGAAAAGAACGTGTGCAAAATTTCAGATCGATATCTCAAAAACTGGTACCTAATTTCGCGTATATACACACATACACACATGGCTAAATCGATGCAACTCGTCACACTGATCATTTATTATTATTATTATTATAGGTAAATACTTTATAGCGTCTCCGACGTTTCCTTATGGGTATATACAAACTTCGTGACAAACATGCTCAGGGTCTAAAAATGTGAGAAGTGACTAGTGATATTTTATAACTTGAGAAGACCTCAAATAAGCGACAACTCCTACGATGCTAAGGGAGCAAAACGTAGCGGTGGTCTTGCGTGACTCGATATTGTCAGAGTATTACATAGAAGCCCATAGAAAAAAATATATTTCTGTAGCTACTATGCTCATTATTGAGTATTTTGAAATTATCAGCCGTCTCAAAAGTCAAAACACCACCCCGCAGCTCAGACTTGATGTCGTCAGTCGTTTGGTGTGGGGTTTCTTAAGGCACTCGCACTATCTAGGCTAGCGATTAAAGTGGATATTAAGCCTACTGCTCTGATGTTATCATTTTGGTTTCACAGCTTGCTTTACGGTGAAAACACTCAAGGCTCAAAAATAATATAAAGAGTTTTCGTATATATGAACGCTTTCACACATTTCGTTCGTTAAAATTTTCAGCTCTAAACCAACGGCTCCTGGATCTAAAGAAAGTAATCTTTATCAACATAAAACACTCAGATTCCTGTCGTGAACTTAAACCGTCCATCGACTGGAGACTAGCATATCAAAAATAACGATAAGGTATAAGCTCTTTGGACTTTGGCATCCTTTAAGCGGATAAGAAGGTCTGATGTTGCATGCATAGCTAACTATATGGAGTTTTACAGGAAAGTAGATATTTTCTTTGCTATCTCTTCAACATATTTTAGCACGCATCATTCATTTTTCAACTCAAGACTTATAGTGGAGAAAAGCTCTGCGCTGGATTCCAAGCAAAATTCAAACTTAAACATACTAAACATTAAATTTTATGTTGTTTGATTGACACCATAGTTATCATAAACAAAACATGACAATGCGATTCATCTTTCGTTATGTTTCTTTAGTGCTTGAAGCTTTCTGCAGCTTGGACATTTGGTCCTTTGCTGTTATTGTTTTCTTAATTTGTAACTTAGTATGTGCATAAATTGGTATCACTGTCACGTCGCAGTTGGCAATGTGCCAGTGGCTGCTTGGACTTTACGGTGGAAGATCCTTTGTGGTATCAACACAATCTAACAACAAAGTGATATGCCTTAGGGTTGTGGTCGAGTTTAACAGTAATACTACGGCAGCATTCACTACACGTTTTCCATGAATACAGCTTCGGAAAGAGAAAACAAAAAATGTATGGTGAGCATGGTTATTGCATGTTGCTGTTGTTGACGGACATGGATCCAGCTACGTTGTTGCTCTGATGTATTTAGAGTGTAGTGTTGCTGGTAAACGTTGAATTGAGCCAAGTCTACTGTTGCTTATGTTGATATGTCGCAAGAAATGCTGCAGCTGACAGGGTATGACGGCTTGTTGTTGTTGTTGTTTTCGTTTTGGTGGGTTGTTGATTTAGCTTTCTAGTTTCTTTGTCAAGTATCTAAATCTGTTGGCTATAGTTTTTGTGCTTGGTTGTGAAAAGTGAAATGTTTGAACATTGTAGACATTTTTTAAAAATTAAATGTAATTACTGGGTCGGCAAAAATTCCTGTGGGTGTCCCTGTTTACAATGTCATGATTTCAAGCCTGCACTAGCCTAAGGTCATGACATTGGAGGCAGGCGGTAGCGAAGGCTGATGTATTACCCCAATCATCCCCATATCATACAAGTAAATTTTATCCTCAGGCTAAGCGAAAAAAAAAACAAAATGGGCCGAGGACCTTCCCGTTACAATTAAGAGCTCATACTTGTAGAGACTTTCCTAGAGGTGTCTAAGAACCTATTTTTCAGAGTAACAAGCAAAACAAAATATTTCATTTTTGTTACCCACCCTCATGTGCAAACGTGCGTGTACTATGCGTGGAATAAAAAGTTGGTTATTGCGGTTTATAATTTTACGCAAATCTAACGCGAACAATGTGGTAATATTGCGTTAATAAATCTAACAAAGTGCTGGAAAATGAAAGAGTCAATTGGAACAGTTTTGAAGTGTACATACATATTTACATGTGGGACTTGGGTGCAAGTTTGTGTGCATCGTCGCTTAAGTTTGCATAATGTATTTGAAACTTTTGGCGTTAATTCTGTATTCCACGAATTATTTCTATATCATTTTTAATGGGTGTTTGTCTTTTAACTATTTTGAGTTATTAGTTCGAAAATCGTATATTACTAGAACTGTATTTCGGTCACATTTTGTACAACTTTTTGCGCATAACCGATCTTCTTCCGCATTTAATCACTTTGTTATCAGCATCAAATGATTAGCTTGACGGCATCGCGATTTGCTGGAACCGGTTTAGCGCTTATACGTTTGATATTAAAATAAATAGGAACTAATTTTCCTTCCTTCACTATTTACCAAAAAGTTAGCAAATATTCACTGTTAAACGCATGTGGACGAATAAGACCTGCAGCATGCCAACCACACGAGATTTTTTTGGAGGCAAGAGCGGCTGCAGGATCTCTACAGAATTGTTTGAATTCCAAAACGATGTATCTACGAACCCGTTAAGAAAGAACGCTGAAGGTTGGATGGTATATGATCGAAAAAAAAAATAATAAAAAAACTATGTATATCTTAAACGGCTCTTTGGCGAATATATTTATAAACAATTGAGTCTGAATTTTGTTTTAACTAAACTTAGATATACGGTAATCAGAAATAGTTTGTCTCAAGATTATAAAAGTATTTCAAACATACGGAATAAATACTTACAGCTTTCTACCTTAATTTTTGTAAAAAATTTTGTAATTTTTAAAATAAACTTAAAATTAAACGACATTTTTGAGGAATACAATAAAAAGCACATTTGAGTTATTGGTTTAGTATGAATTTGTGTTTGCACTCGGCAGTTTGGTTGAAATCACTTTTTAAAGTAAACTCAAATGCTTGTTAGGCATAAACTCCCACATGCCTGGCTATGCATATAGGGTTCTATATACTCACGAACGGCTGTTCGTACAAATAAAATTCAATTAATCAAGTAAACACTCGCAAGCTGGGAAAACTCAAATACCATCTTTATGTGAACATGTGTTGTGCAACTTGTCTGCCGGCAACAACGAAAATAATCAACCCCACAAAGTCAGTCATATACTTGTGTAGATTTTGACTTCTACGTATGCACGAATGCCTTGTAGAGGTTATGTTAAACAAGCGCTTAAAGCAACGACTAGTTAGTTTCTCACAAGTTCTGTTTGTAGCACTATTTGTTTTGAGTGAAAGTTTTTTCGTGCAAAATAATAATACTCGTATATATATTAAAATCAACTCAGCCTAACAAAATCACTTATTCATCATATTATATAAGTTCTGTTACTCATTTTTACAAAGGGATGACATAATATTTATCGAATAATCTCGCTTTGTTTTATTAAGACATCCAGACAACTATTTGGCTGCTCATCCTTATAAGTTTGATTAATACATTAATCTATTTCGATCGGCCTTAGGTATTGCAAATAACAGTTAGATGAGCAGTACTATTATCTTATGTGCAACATGTTGTTTTCGTCTAACCAAGGCAAAGTCGAGTATAAAATAAATGCAAATGAGAAATGAGCGAATCTACCTATTAACTACCCCTGTAATTAAAAGAAAATACAACAACAATAACAGATTTTAAGCATATCAAGTTAGTTGGAATTACTTTAGAATGACGGAAAATAGGTACCATACATCGGCGATGACAGCAAG